ACCCTGTGCGCAGGTAACCCACTGAGCCGTAGACTCTTTCAGACGCATCGCAAAAGATGTGCATCCGTCAGCTTGCAGTGCTAGTGTCCACGTCAGTTGTATAACATTTGGGTAGGTAAAGAAGTGGTAATTCGCAGAGTTCACCATTTACGCCACTTTGTGAGGATCTCCCCTTGTTTGATAGGTTGATCGCATTCTCTCTTGGTTTTCCACAAGTCCTGCACCAGGATCTGTGCATGTGCGGTGAAGGGTGCGAGATAACCAATTGGGTCGTATTGACTGATAAGGATCCTGATAGTTCTTATGTCGAGTACCTTGTACTTGATGTGTCAATGCTTGTAGCTCAGCTCATCTGAGATACACTGCCAGCATAGTCCAAGTCTGGCTTCGAGAGAGTCGATCGCTCGGATTGAAGATTATAATCCATAACTCGTTTCCATCTTTAACAACTGACGGACAGCGTTACTGGCCCACCGACGAATATTGAAGCCACGAGAGGCAAGCAGTTTATGCATCGTTGCTACTAGTTCTTTGGCTTCTGAATCACTTGGGATGTTGTTGAGGCAGTTTCCACGTAGGACTGGTCATTGGCGCAACAAACATCGTCATTTCCCTACTGGTTGTAAGTACGTTCTTCTGCAGCGCAAAAGGGACTGCAAATGTGTGTGTTAAGGAGAACTTGCCATTCGTTCACATCGGGTGTCACCTCTCTCTGGACATTACGCCAAATAAACCTCAGTAAAGGATTGTCCTGTGGGAGAAGTTTCACCTAGTGACACATTGCCTGGATGTCTCCAGAGATTGCCACTAAGTGCTGGCGGAATCTGAGGAAGACTGCTAGCAGGGAGGCATCAAGTTTGGGCCCTGGCAGGAGGTGCTGGTTGAGGATCATGTTCATTTATTTATTTATCTATTACATTTCTTTACTCAGGGTGTGCCCAAACAGTTTAAAACTGGTTTCCATTATACACACATGTACAAATACAATACATTACAAATACAATACACCACAATGAAATAAAATAAAAACATACGAGATTACTGCATGATCGTGAAGCATTGAAACATTACAAAGAAACATATACAGTTTGAAACGACATTGCTAAGGCGATAAGTTAACACGAGGAATTTGAACATTTCTTGTGACATCAGTAAGATATACATGTGTATTTCTTTACATTCGCTGATTACGGGAGGGGCGAAAAACCCGTGGAAAAAAACACCTTTTGGGAGAAAACACAGGAAAATTCCCATCCGGCTCATTATTATGGCAACGAAATTTATTAACTCCATAAGTCAGCGCATATTTATATTTGTATTATCAGTAAAGGCAGCGACAACAAGAAATACTCACATAAATGCAGAAATATTTACTTGCCGAATGTTTTACGTAGTTCAGGTTTGAATGAGGTTAGAGAAGTCATGTTCCTCAACTGTACATGCAAGTTATTTCATATGATTGTACCAGTTACAGCAAAGTCACGAGTCTGAATAAGTGGTAAAAACAGATTTGTCATATACAAAGGAATAATTTTGTTTACACATTTGTAAACAAGGATAGCCTTTTTATACTTAATTCTTTCAGAGAATGACATCCAAGTTAGTCTAGCAAACATATCGACTGATGGAGTTAAGAATGCACATTTCAGGATTATCCACGCTGCTTTTTTCAGACATTTGTGAAGAATATTGTCATGAGATATGTACCGTCCTTCCCAAACAGTACTGCAGTAATCTAAAGATGGCATATAACTAAGCTAACAAAGAGAGTGCAGGCTGCTTTGGGGAACAAAGTCGTGGATTCTTTTCAGCATACCTAGTTTAGATGAAACTGTTTTCTTCACGTATTCAACGTATGGGCCCCAAATTAAAGTTTCATCAATAATAACCCCCAAACATTTACAAGAGTTTACCTGAACAAGTGGACTACCAGCGATAACTGACATCAAGGTTAATACTGCAGACCTTTCGTTAAGTTCCAATGATCATTGATTTGGTTTTGCTGGCATTAATTGTAAGTTTGTTCTTGCTACACCCATCGTATATTCTAGTTAGGGCTGTATTCAGGTTGTTTTCTATCTCATCAACACTGGTAGAACTACACGTTAATGAGGAGTCGTCAGCATACATAAACAAATCACACTCTTTAGGGATACAAAGCGTATCCCTAAGTCACTGGTATAAATAATACAAAAACAGTTGACCTAGAATGGATCTCTGTGGCATGCCAGTGGGAAGCGGCAAGGCCTTGAATATGTTGCCCTCAATATTCACAGACTGACTGCGTTCCCTAAGATGTAACTTACACCAGTTGATTACAGCTAGAGGTTGACATATGCATCCTCTCAAGTTTATCTAGGAGAGTTGCATGACAGAGTCGAATGCTTTACTTAAATCTATAAACACAGTGCCTGTCATTTTCCCATGCTCCATGAGCCTGAAAACATTTGTTCGTTAGATCATGTAAGGTGGTTTCAATGGAGTGTGAGGGCCTAAACCCTTACTAACAACATGAAATCAGACCACTTTCATCAAGGTAAGAGTACACTGCTGAATGCATCCATCTTTCTAGAATCTTAGAGATAATCGGCAGTATAGAAATAGGCCGTTAGTTAGTTGTACTGCACTTGTCTCCAATAGGTGTAACTAAGGCATGTTTCCACCTTCTAGGGTATTGTTCGCATCTTAAATTGACAGGTTAAAACTGTGTGCTAAGCTTTTAGTTATGTACGGAGACGCTATTTTAACCATTTTCACACTTATTCCATCCGGAACTGTTGCTTTTCCGACCGTCATTGATGATATTTGCTTTTGAACATAGTCTTCTGTAATCTCGGGCAGTAAGTATTTTTTCATAGAGTGAGTCTATAACAAATGAAAGGATATCATGGTGAGCTTCAAGTTCACACTGAGGGGCATTAATGGCCATACGTGTTCCGATTGTTGCAAAAATGTTCGTTAAATGTATCATCAATGTCGGTGAGATTATCTACGGATTCCCCATCCCGGGAAAGAATAGTCTTTGGAATAATTTTCTGTTTGATGGGGAGAACCTCTTTCAGTTTTTTTCACAGAATCGATGAGTTGCCTTTATTTTCCTCAATGGTGGATCTAAACTATTCACTTTTCACAGCTTTTTGTATGTATCCCACAATCATTTTGTGAGCCAGAACGCTTTATAGCGATTTTATTTGCACGATCTCGCTGTCGCATAAGTTTTAGTATTTCTCCATCGAGCCAATGCAACGATGCACCACGAATACATTTTGATTTCATTAGTGCATGGTGGTTAATAAAACTCATAAACAAGAGTGCCACACGGACCATACTTCTTTAAACAACTTGACAATTAAGCACATGTTCCCATGGGGCATTAAGAAGGTTATCTTGAAAAAGCGTCTCTATCTATATTTTTAAAATGGCTACAGTTTATTAAATGGCCTTTTATTTTTTTTTATTTTTTTATTTTTTTTGGGGGGGGCTTTCCAAATATTGGGACCGTATAAGATAGTGGTCACTAATCAGGACAGGTAGGACAAGTTCGGGATGAGAGCTAAAAATTAGATCAATAGTGGTTTCAGTAAATTCAGTAACACGGGTTAGTAGATACAGTCGAACACAAGCCGTGTTTACCATTATTCTCAACAAAGCGGTGTGGACAGTACCATGACTCATCTGTCCGGTTAGCTTCTTCCTCATTGAGTATCTGCACATGGCCCGCATCGACCAACTTCTGGATCTTCTCATTATGGATTTTGGCAAGGTCTGGCTGCTTCTGGGGTTTTCTCTCAGTGTGCTTTAGTCTGCATGGACATGACTTCTTTCCTGTCAGCATAGCGCAGTGTTAATTGCTCGTCGACTCGGATTGTTTGGACTCCAAGTAGATGGTGCCAGCGTTTCTGTAAAGCTCTCACTGGATAAGTGTATTCTGAAGGCGAAGGTTGTCAGCGATGAATGCTCCCTTAATGAGGTACTTGGTATCGGGGTTTTCGCTGGTTGAGAAATAAAGATCAATGGTTTGGCCTTCACATCGGAACGGTTCTTGCCGAACTGTTTACAGGATAATACAATCCTTCTCCCAAGAAAGGTTTAGCTGCTAGACTGCCAATATGAGCACCATTGTTCACATTGAGCCGTCATCAAGCACAGCGTATATTTTGAAACTCCTAGCTGGACCATATGAAGGAGAATTTGGACAACCTTCAACACAATGTTGAATGGCCTTTGGGGCTTACACCCTCTGTGTGGTCATCCCCAGTGTGTGGATTTTTGTTGCAGTTGTTGTATGGGTTCTTTAGCATTCAGTCTTCAGGTTTGTGAGTACAACCACACTTCCATCATCAGGTTTTCTCCTTAAGCCATTCAATGATATGGTGAGTGGTGAGTTTCCTGAAGTCTGCGCAACCATTCAGTTACTGTTCATGGCTGTCACAGAGTGGACAGTAGGCAGTACGCTTGTTCTGCTTCGAAGGCGCTGACTGTTGGTAAGGTTTCGAATTCACTTGCCTTCCATCGTCAGTCTGAAAGACTGCTTTACGGGGAACGTAAACCCTCTTCTTTCTCTCTTGCCTGATCTAGAGCTGTCATAACTTTGGGCAGCGACTGCTTGTCATATATGCCCTTGGCTTGAGACGGGACCCGGGAAAGGTGTATATTTGGTCGGAATCGGCTTTTAAGATTCCTCAGTTAATGCAATGTTCGACAGACCTGTCCCGGTAACTGGCTGGCAGTTGCCAAGCAGTCTACTGATGTGTGAACCACACTTCAATTCGTAACCATGCTCTGCTGCGAGTGAGCAAAGCATGGCCACCAGTGAATGGATGGAGAGGGTATAGTTGTCAAAGGCATGTTGGTCACTTGTCTTGATGTGAGGCATGTTTATGATAAAACCTAACTTACTCTAGACAAACTGCCTTGGCTGGCTGTATTTGTTCTTTAACGCTCGGAGTGCCTCGGAGTAGGGCTTGGAGTGGTGCATATAGGCCTTCGCCAGTTGCAGGATGTTGCCCCTAAGTCTACCCAGCAAAACGTGGTACTTGTACTGTTCTGGGATGAACATTGACGAGATTGTCTCATGGCATCTTCAGGAGGGCAAAGTCACTTTCTTTGCCGGTGAAGAAGCAAGGTAGGTCGCGGTACACCATAAGATGAAGCAGTGAGTAGCTCAGTCATTTGGCATAGCTGGTGGCATTGGGTGCAGTACATTGTATACATATGAACATCTTATCCCTTAAATTATCATTAAAAGTCCATTTCTCAGTTAAGAGAATCTTTAAGAGATGTTTCACGGACATTTACTGGGGGCTTATAAAGGACTAATCCTGTAAGGGTATTTTCACGTTTTATTTAATGGCCCTGGCCACTAGGGATTATCAATGGTTATGCATAACGGTCCACTGGGTCTATCTCCATGGGTAAACAAAGGACTTTCTTAAGGGTGTTGACAAATCCGTGAAAATTTGGTTAACTGTAATTTCAAGGGAAAATGGTTCTTTAATGAATTTTTAAGGGATGAAGATATCAGATGCTTCTGCAAATGTTGGCATAATACTGGATAGCAGGGCTGAAGGATATGGAACTGCTCCGGGTAGTGAAGTGAGAGACTGGATGATGCTGTCGTTGACATGTTCCTCTAAGGAGAGGTCCAGGTCATGGATTTGGCCCTTTTGGGTTGTTGGCTGTGTCCACTTTCTGTGGCTAGTGACATCGCCGGTGCCCCATTGAAAGTAAAGTGTGGCATTTTGTGGTAGAAACAGCAATAGTGCCCTCTGTATGAGTGGGGTAAGGTTGGGGCAAGGCATCCTAGGCACTTGACAGTTGCTGTGTTGCTATTCAGTGAGGGGATCTGCATGCTGGCAGCACCATGGTCCACATAAACAGCAAGAGTTGCCTTTGCTGAGGTGCAGTGTATCTCTAAGTGTCCAATTCGGATCCGCCATTGGCCATTGAGAAAATCTGCCTCTCGCAACAATTCTCTGTCATGACAACCGGGCTTTGATAATCTTTCTACGTTAACCCTAAAGGGGCCGGGGGCGGAATCCGCCCCCCCTCAACATTTTCCGCGATAGCTTCTAAAAAAATTTTTTTCGCGACCCGAGCTGTTATGACTTTTTAGCCTCGAGCTTTGCGCATCTTTTGATACCAAAAACATAAAAATCGGACCACGGGTTGGCCCGTAGCGAAAAATTTTCCGGCGCTACGCGCCGTGAAAACTGAATTCTCGCATATGCGACGTGTACACCGAGCAGAATTGCCATTCATACATATGAATAATTAATTAGCCATAATTCCAAAACCCTTTGACCTATAGTCATGACATTTCTTGGGCATGTTTAGGAAGAGTTGTTCTATGCATGTGCTGAGTTTCAAATTTTTTCGTCACTTGATGGCCGAGATCTTAGGGGGGGCGGAATCCGCCCCCCCCCCCGGCTGAGAGATGGTCAAAATAACCCGGCCCCTTTAGGGTTAAAGGGCTACACATGCGATGGCATCAGCACCTTTTTGGCTGCATGGGCTTCCTCTTCTGCTGCAATGCATGATGCGTAAGCTGCGTAGTCCAGTTATGGTAGCTCTTCATCTGCTTCTTTCTCCTCTTCAAGCTGACGTTTCAATTCTTTTTATTGTGTTTTCTTCCTTTGTTGTTGCAAACGTGCTTCTTGTGCACCGCTAAGGGTTATGTACGCTTTGCCTTGAAGAGTTGTGGAGCCTCTGTCCAAACAGGAGTCTATTTTCCCGGTGTTCTTCTGTTGGTACACCTTGCAACAACAGCAAAGCAAAAATGGGTCTGAAAAACTCTGTCAATTGAGAGCGCTATAACATTTTCTTGGCACATCGAGTGCTGAGCTAAGACCTTCTGACAGTAGTCAGTGCCTCGTTATCACAACTATGGATCTCTGTATTTCCTATGGACTCCTTCACAAATGTTACCGGCACGTTTACCTCAGTTGACACAGTCGAGCCATCTTTATCTCATTTATCAACCTCCGTTCGAGCTGCAAATAGCTGTGGTCCATCTGGTAAAAAATCTTCCACTTGCCTTTTCTGTGTTGGACTATGTGTCACAGGTGTTCCCATTTCAGTGGCGTCCATCCTCTGGCTGCCCCTGATTCGTAGGCCCTTTTTCCGCCCCATGCCATCTGTTCCATCTGCTCTTTCATCTACTTCTGACGTTCACGAATGGCCTCTCTCATTTCGTTCTGCTTGATACTTCTGCTACATAGGCCCACACTCATCATTAAGCACTCTCACAAACTTTGTTTTTCAGTTCTCTGCTTTTTAAGTTTGAGGAATCCTTCGGTTGCAATTGCTGCTTGTATTACTTTGCGTGGAAGATTTCCTCACGGAGCAGATCGCCTGATCCTCTTCGGAGAAATGTACCCTTAATATATTCGGCCACTTTGTCCTAACCTACACGGCAGGTGCAGCCTTGCTTTTTTCAAACTCTTCTCGACCATCCTCAGCTGGATGCCCTGCACTCACAGATGACTGTTTGCATGTCTGCTCCTCTTCAAGCATAGCTGGTGATGTTCGCTGGTACAACAATTGTTCTGTAGATTTTGGTTTGAAGCTTGGGTGTAGGTTTTGGAGTGAATGGCCCCTCCTTTCCAAGGAAGTGTGTTACCATGGATGTATTCAGTGTATCTGGTACTACCAAGTCCTGACGCATAAGTCCCCCAGCTCCCGTTAGTCTCAGTTTACGTACTTCTGCATGTAGTTGCAACTCGTCCACCTGCCGCGTCTCTAATCTGTCGCATCTCTCATCTGTAAGTCTGTAGACCTGTGGACTCCTCTACAGCACATTTCATGTGTTCCATCTCCGGGATTTTATGGGCACTCCAAGTGCTGATTCATCTATGGTTGCTCGTTGGTCTTTTCACGGCACCTAACCCACTTTTGACACAAATTTGTGGTGGTCGCGCCGACAGTAATTCGAAGTTTTTCTTTGGCGTATGCCAGTCAAGGGAGCAGATTCATTTGCAACAGGCGCAGCAGAAAAAGCAGTGCGGTAGCAGGTTGGTAAAGCTTCCAAAGCAACTGAACAGCTTTGCGCTTGGAGCAGGGTTGGGAACATCGTAAAAGGTAAAGGTAAAGATCCCATAACCATTACTGGCCGTAGGGGCAGTGGGATGTTAGAGGTCCACTGTGTCTTGGGCGCGGCATATGAGTGGCAGGGCCCAGTCCTCTCCTCTTGCCGTCTTACCTTCCCTGAACGAATCAGGTACCCATTTTACTGCTGGGTCGTCAGAGAGAGTTTTCCAGTTTTTGGTCCGAATGGGATTCGAACCGCTAACCTTCCACTCCGTAGCTCCACGCTCTAACCGCTCGGCTACGAGGGAACATCGGGGCACCTTAAATTACACACACTCACACGCCTTCCTAGGTTGGCACTCTTTTATTTATTCTACACTTCAACAGGCGTTACTCTTAACAATGACCTCTACAGGCTAAAGGTTTGGCACCTTTGTTGTGTACACTGGAATTCCCCTATTCTACAATCCCGGCCAAAATGGTTGGGACACTTCCTGAGCCTAACAACAGCCACCCACTCCCCCGCTCCCCCGGTCAATGTTGTTCTCTCCAGCTAATGGAGCACACACCGCGCAATGAGAGACAACATTGAACGGGGGCCGGGGGAGGGTGGGGGCCCAGCGAGATTCGGCCTGGATTGTAGCTAGTTTTACATCCACAAAAAACACTCAGCAACACTTTCAACGTCCCCAGTATGGACTTCCTCTTCATAAATTTATCCCAAGTTATAACTAATCCCCTTTAACTTCAAAGCAGAATAATCGCCTGGTAAGTTGCTTTACTTGCGGGTATGTACAGTTGCTTACTGAAAGTCAATGTAATTTGCATGGGCAAGGGACTGTGAGCTGCACAGAAACAGGAACTGCAAGGAACTGACCCGCATGGCGCAAGCTTCCACTTTTATACAACGTGTGCCAATAGTCTGGGGCTACATGTGATGATGTTGGTAAATCAAATAATTAAAAAGTTAAACAAAATACTGCCAAGGGAATCCAAAAATAAATAAAAGTATGAAAGACTTTGCTATGTGCCTTTCTGGGTACTTTTGGGGGCGTTGCTGTAATCTCACAATTTGTGTTTGGCCTCAAGTTTTGAAAAAATTAAAATGATACTTCTATCATACATTCTTTTAATCAATGTTAGCCAGAAAACACTCCTTTACCTTATGTCTTGTGATGGACTTTTTGAGGACTTGCGATTGCTTTGACTACAATGTTTGGTTAAATTTGAATAAATTCAAATGCTACCTCTATCCTGCATGTACAATTCTTTTAGTCAATCATAGAAAAATCCTTTTGTTCAGGGTTATATATGGTGTGCATAGAATGATGATCTATTCTTTTAACCTTAACCTCACCCAAAGCTACAAAATACTACTACAAATGGGCACAGCACTCACACTTCTTTGTAGTATGTGGTACATAACTCCAAATGAACTCTTTGGGGGTGAGGGTTAAATGAGCTCTGTGGATGATGATCTATATGTTTTTTAAACTGCTGTTTGTTTGTTTGTTTGTTTGTTTTTTGTTTGCTGTTCAAGGTTTGGAAGACATTGCTGGATAAGAAAGTTCCCCGTGATATCAAAGACACTGCAATCAGAAGGATCCAGACTTTAGCCAATGGGGACTGGCGCGGTGGACTGTCCAAGCCATTGGCTGGCCTCCCTAAGGAGTGCAACATTAAACTGTATGAGGCAAAGCTCGATAAAGCTAGACGAATTCTGTGGGAGCTGACGATCGTGTTCTCACCTCGGCTCACAGGTAGAGAGAGTGAGAAGATGCTTGAGTCAGGTATGTGGACATAAAGACTTCTTGCCCAAGTACATGTACCCCCTAAAAGGTTTCAAAGTGAAAGTTGGGACCACTGGGAGGGGCTCTTGAATGTACCAAGTACATAATTATATTTAATACTGACAAGATATTATTTTTGGGGGAAGGGCATCAATTTGAAACACAATGTACAGCATATATTTTGAAGAACATCTGGGACAACATTCTGTGTCAGCCCTCTCATCTTTTGTCCTTTTACTGATAATTTGAAATTCTGTTTCAACTACTAAGACAACATTACATGTATTTTTATATGCTTATCATTCAATTTCGTTTCAGTTTTCATTAATGTTAATTATAGCTCAAGAAAATTATAATCGTTGTAATTGTTCCCAAAATTGTTAATTGTAAATGTGTTAATGTTTTTACTGTATGCAGCGAGCTTTTTAAATTACCCCTGTGGGATACAATAAAGATTACTTGACTTGACAGTGGCACAATGCTTGTACATGTATTTATAGGTTCTCTTTCACTTTGACAACTTGCCACAATTTGTAGTTGATGCCAACTTAACAAACCTTGCTGTCCAACAGTCTCAACACAGAAATTGCATAGACAACATCTACCATCAGGTTTATTTTTGTTTGCAGTTGTCGAAAAAGATTTGATATTGTTTCTAATGATTTGTATCATTATCTACATTGCACACACTCTAGTGTGTTTTTGTCCAAGACTGAACTGAAGTCCATTTTTCAAGGGCAGTTGCATTTAATCTGTTAACTTGTCCATTTTCAAATGAAATTCAATTCCCCTATGCCCCTAACTCAGGTATAGACGATTCAACACAAACTGCACGCTACTCTGAGGCTATCCGTGTATGGGACATAGTACTAGACCACTCCAAGGTGGCACATGCAATGGATGTTATTATGCAGAAGGTGAAGCAAGGCAAGAGGTTTAAGAAGCGCAAAAGTCTGATGGGAATCAGCGAAGGAAAGACCTCAAGTAAGAAAACCTGAACATATCCTAGTGACAGGGCATGTTTATGGTAGGATATCCTTGCCATCACTTTTTGTTGGGGGAAGGGGCAGTGGGATCATCTCCCAAGATTTGTTACTGAGCACCAAAGTAAAAATTGTATGTCAACATGACATCAACAGAAAAAAATAGTTATGCGGATAAACAAAGGGATCATAGCCAAGCTGCTCCTAATATAAATTTGAGTCAAGGGTATCGGTGTATTTTGGAATTAATGCCAAGTCCGTTTCTGTCATGAACAATCCCACCTTGTGCCAGAAAGAGAAAATACAAAGATTAGCAATCACAGAAAATAAATAGCATGAAGGTATGTACATCACAGTGGAAAATGACATAATACTCATTTATCTTATATAGATTTGAAACATCTTGAAAATTTAGAATTTTCACATATTATCGTCCCCAGACCTTTTAGTTTAAATTACATTTGAGTGTGAAATGAATGCTGAATTTGTGATCAAGGCAGCATTTTTCTAGAGCATTTGGGGTGGGTGGAGGGGGAAAGTTAGTTTAAAAAGTGAAAAGCTAGGCAGCTTTAAGTGTTTCCCGATGAATATTTCTTGTCTCATGAATTCCAGAGGGGACCAAATTCCGCTCTCCCACTGTCTTTCGGGTGGTTAAGTCCGAACAGTTTGCAAATAATGACAAGATGCTACATGAGCTGTGTCCTCCAGGCGAAGATGAGTACCGTGTAATGAAGCTGTATTCCTTCACTTCCATGCTGGTTAATGCCGTGCTAAACAACAGCCAGGTAGAAGTAGAGTTTCCCTTCCGAGTGACAGAGTTGGAGCATGCTATCATCAACCTCCAGCCTGAGCCGCCGTCCTCGATCTTGCTGCTTGGCCGAAGCGGAACAGGTAATCAGAAACCAAAATTCTTTCTTAGAAAATGCAGATATTTCAACACCATTCCTCCACACTTAAAAAATTGCCTGGGTTAACTTTACCAAAGAAAGGGTGAAAACTGGAACTACCCAAACTTGGGTTGTTCTTTAACCAATTGTTTGGGTTAGAATTTATGTTAAATTCAACCAAAAGTTGTAGTCATACAAGCCCAAATTAAATTTGGTCTTGAATGACCACTAGTTTTGGTTGAATTAAGCAGAAATTCTAACTCAAACAATTGCTTATAGAACAACCAAGGTTTGGGTAGTTCCAGTTTTCACCCTTTCTTTGGTAAAACTAACCCAGGCAATTTTTCCGTGCAGGCCTTCAGCTCCAAGACCCCATCTGCAACATCAAGTCTAAAGACATTCCAATCGGTCATTTACACCCTAGTACCCATCCAACTCAGATCTCTCACCTTAGTCAGCCCATGGGTCTCCCATACAGAAAATAACCAGAAAACGCTGATTGGATGTCAATGAATATGTATGCATGTGGCTCAAAACATTCTGCATGTGTATTGCGCTGTGATTGGCTGCTACCCAAATCGGTAGAATAGCTCATAGTCAGTAATAAAACCCGTGGCAGAGTGATAATGTCTTGGTTTCACATGAAAATAACATGTACATGTGCATGTTTAATATGTTGGTTTGGAACTGAAACGCTAGGGTGTGTTTTATAAACAGCTCGTATCTTGATTATGCAGTGCATCATGTGTACGCACGAAATATATTACCACAAAGACCAAGTAAAGCCCAGACTCGGTCTACGTTCTTCTCTGCTCCTCTCCACTGCACTGAAAACATCCGTCACTATGACCTAGCATCCCCCGCCCCAATCTTGGTCTCCAGTTTGCCATTTTACACCTTTGCGCTTCCTGGCTCCAATTCTTATATATATATATACAACCAATACCTGAAAACAGGAATAGGATGATCCAAACCATGAATTTCTCCTAGTTCTTTTCAGAACCACATAAACGCACAACACACGTTTCTGGGATTCCATGGGTATGCTGAAAGTTCATGAGAGAATGTTTTACATGTATTTGTTTAACTGCACCCAGCTTTGGTGGAAGTTGCTCTCAACAAACCATCACAAAATGAAATAGGTCTTGTTAAATGGCCAGATGATATTTCCCTTTTAAACTTTTCAAAAAAGCAAAAAAGGCAAGGTTTAAGCACAAAAGCGGAACTGCGTAGCACTGAAGAAAGGTAAAAGTGATGAAAACAAAAGTTAAAGCAGAACTCACCGGGAATTATTCTGGCAGAATTAATTTTCGGCCCCGCTGGGCCTTCATCGGAGCTATGACTGTTTGAATGCAGAAAACTCAACATGCAAACCGCCTGGCTTGGAGATGGAACAACGCATCATCTACAAGCTTGGAAAGCTCACGCCAGGCGTTTTGAATGTGGAGTTTTCTGCATTCAAAATTCTAAATTCTAAATCTGGCAGCCACGGTTGTGGACCTTCTAGACCATTTTTTCCCTTTGTCCTTCGATCGTCTGTTGCCTGATCAGGCCCTGTTTGACGGCCCCCTCCCTGTAATCCTGGATACCAGCGATGTCAAGGACCTTCCATCATTGCTGGGCAATTGGATGACCCCAGAAGAGACATCTGAAATTGAGTTTGGTGCTCATCAGGTGGGTAGAACGAAGCCAATATAAAAAGGCTGATTAATAAGATATACATGTAATTGTACTTTCTTTAATCATCCCTATCCTCTTAGATCCTTTCAAATCATCTATATTATTAGTTCAATCACAAATAATGTTTTATAGGTTTCCTACAAAGTGGTTGATTTTGTAAGAACATGAAGAAAATACCGAAGGAGTTGATGGGGAGCAATTACAAATTTGGGAGTAGCAGCTATACTGATTCATGTCGGCAAGCTGACCTGGACAAATGATCAAGTCATTTTTGTCAGAAAAAGCTTTGGGATCGAATCACAAGCCTAAAATAATGACTTTTTGCATTGTCAATCCTAATTGTAAATTCTGATTGCATTTTGAGAATCATTTTTGATGAATATAAGCAGCAGGAAAGGAGTGTTTTTTTTATCAGAACATTCATATTCTGAGTAGTTCTTTAGGATTGATGCTTAATAAATATGACAAAATTGAAAGAGCGTGTTTAAGAGCTTGTGGAAAAATAATCACTTTCTGCTTAATTTGACAAATTGCTTGTTAAATGTACACCATATCACAGAGGAAAATTCCACGAAATATTCAGTTATGAAACTATATCTTTTCATATTACCTAAGAGTAATATTCGTATTTTACTAGCGAACAAGTTGTGCATTTTCAACCATTAGTTCTCTTCATAAAATGGTTACATGGGTTGTTTTGCAGTCTTACACATGCATAATTCTGTATATTCAACAGGTAATCTTGGTTGCCAGCTCTTCAGTGAAACAAGTGGTCATGTCCAACACTGCTTCAGGGAAACCACTAGCGATGTTTGACAAGGGCATAGTCATGACCATAGAAGAAGCCAAGGGACTGGAGTTTGATGACGTCCTGCTGTACAATTTCTTCAAGGACTCAGAGGTAAGACTTTTTTGTGTCTAAACTTTTTCTGAACTTCAAGTGTCCATCAAGTGTGATCAAAATCAGATGCAGTTCAGGGGAAAATGTGAATGTTATACAGGCGGTAACTTTAGGTTCACTTTAAGGTTCTGCAAGGTTTTTTTTCAGGATTTTATGGGGTGATCCCCAGTGTTCAACCTCAAGTTTATTACCGATTTTTTTTAAATGGGACATTGTTCTGAAAGCACTGCCATACTCTAACGTAAACAAGAGATGCAATTTGTGTATAGCAGAGAAGTACATTATCATATGTAGGCCAGATCTAGGTACACTGAATAAGAGAAGCGAAATCGTCTCCAAGTGCAGGCATCGAGACAGATGTGTTCTTACTTCAGTGACGTAAACGCGTACTAACTTCAATGACGTAACGCGCGTAACGCGTGCGCGCGCTTGATTCGAAATAAGGTAAGATGCTACTTGTATTCTGTTTTTCGTCATTCTGCTGATGAGTGCCTCAGACCACTGCACCCTCCTGCTAAATGGGGTCACTGCACTTTCAGAAATGGGTCTAATAACTGGCTGTATAAACAATAGTCTTCAAGGCATGGGACTGACCTAAGGTAACAGTAACAACAACAAAAACTGACGGGGTGTTTCAGCCTAGAAGAGGGGTAAAGAACATACTTAAGTCTAAGAAAAATAAGGAAAATTCAAAAGGGGCACCCTTTTACATCCTCCTATGCTACTCTACTGGTGTTCCTGCCAATATGCAGGATAACTAAATCTAAATGCAAGCCTACATTGTTCTCAGTATGCCTAATGTTTTGGAGCTTTCCCAGTGGGTAGATCTGGTGGACCTACGTATGGATCAGAGGCTTAACCATCGGGGTATCCGGTCGCACTGGTGTGACTCATTCTGGAATCGCGGCTGGGTTGGCAGCAGGTTCTACTGGGGGTTGTCTGGCCATCTCAGGGGATGCTGTTCTGGCAGGCGGGGTTGGAAGACGTCTGTGGTGAACTCGAGGTTGCTCTGCTTGCTCTTCAGCTGATGGTGCATGTGGAAGGGGAACAGTGTGTGTCAATGGCGGGCTGTCCCGCATCTGCAGACGCTGGTCAGATTGATGGGGATGGAGGCTGTCGGGTTTGATTTGCACTTCAGGTTTCCCTACGGGCACTCTCACTGGTGCAAAAGGCAACAATAGGCACTGAGGTGTCAGTAGATTTACAAGCCATTCACTGGCACGGAAAACTGGAGCGTCTGGATCGAGACTGGAACTTGTGGTTGGGACTAAATTGGGTGTATCTGGGTCTGCATCAGCTGGTTCTGGGGCTGACTTTAATTAAGCGGCAAACAGAAAGTGCATTTAGATGGAGACGAACCTTCCACTTCTTGTCTGCTCCTGCCTTGCAGCCATGTGTTGCCAGGCAGGAAAGCACCATGTTGAGCCTTTCAGTGTGTGATGGAAAATCAACTAAGCAGCTAGACACTAAATGTCATTTAGGTAAACATTAGCGTCTCACACAACTGATCCTCAAAACACGGCTCCCTGAATCTTTGCAAGGTTACTAGTGCATTGCTCAAGCCAAATGTCATCCTATTGAATTTGTACAATCCCATCAGTGTTGTAAAAGCCATCTTTGCTCTGTCAGCAGGGTCCATCACAATTTGTCAAAGTTTTACGTAAAGGGATTATGGGTACAAGGGTTTATGAGACGATTTTCCTTCACATGTTTTTAGGTCAGATTCTGAACTGTCTCTTATTTTACAGTAAAGTTTGTCAAATTTCTGTTTAAACTTGTCAAGAACTGTCAAAGTGAGATGACTTTTAAATTAAAAATGACTTAGTTGTCTGAACAAAATAACTGAAATTCTGGTTGAACTGGGAGTTTATGTGATCAAAGGAGGTTCATCTCAGTAGAGTGAATGAATTATTATAATTTGCAAAAAAAAAGAGATACACCTTTTGTTTCAGTAAAGACTGTTAGAGGGCTAATATTCACGAACACCTACTGATTTACCCATTTTAGGGATTAAACCACAACATATTGTTCACTTGTTTGATAATGTCCTGTATCAGGCTGACAAGGAGTGGCGAGTGATCACTGGTTTCAAGCCCCGTAACCTTGGCGATCACCAAGGAGAATGTTTGAAGACAATTGACGTAAATTGGCTTTACTCAACCAATCGACCGCCTCATTTGAACTTCAATCCAGATGAACACAAGGTTTGGCATTTTTATGTTCTTGCTTTATTAGAATGATATCATCGATTAATTCAGCATATTCAGAACGTAATGTTTGTGTGTCTGTCTATTGTCATGCACTGCTTCAATATGAATGTTGATGAGTTGTTGTAAAATGATTAAGACATTGCTGTTTGCTTTACATTTTACAGATACTTAATTCAGAGCTGAAGCGTTTGTACACTGCCGTCACAAGGGCACGGAACAGTGTCTGGATCTTTGATGAAGATGAAGGGAAGCAAGTGCCGATGTTTGATCTTCTTCGTTCCAACAGATTGGTGCAAGTGACCAAAAAAGAGGACATAGAATTCGGTATGATTTTCACAAAATTTTGCCATATGTGATATGGACTCCAGTCATGAACAACAGATGGAGCCTTTTTGAAATGGTTAAACGTTTAAACGCTTGAACGGTTCTTGAAATGTTTGCTAAACGTTTACAAAATTAAACGCACAGTCGCATCCTTTATTAGCGGGTAGTGATCAATATGGCTCGTCATTGGTGATTTCTGACAAAAATACATGCCTAAAACTTGCAAAAATCTCTCATTGAAATTTGTCACCAAAAGCTGTTTTTTTAGAAAAATCACTCACTAGCTTTGGTAATAAGAATGGGAAAAAAATTGTAAACCAAATGTACCAATTGGAGTTTGGTTGATAGTTTGACTAAATGAGCTTTTATTTTCAAGGATCCTTATCTCCATACGCGTGCTTCAAGTTCAACTTGCCAAAACTTATTTAGGACTTTGAGATGATGTTAAGGACAACATTCTCAAAGCTCAACATACGTGTACTGTTTTAATGCTCATTTCTCTCAGACCCTGTTTATGAGGGATTTGTAAAACCTTCCTCCCCATCTGACTGGAAGGAAAGGGCGAAGTACTTTACTGACAAAGATCGTGTGGAGACAGCAAGAAAGTGTGAGGAGCTTGCTGCCTATCATGGTAACTAATATTGCCCCTAATAAAACTTGTGTGTGCTTTGCTTTTTGCCTTGTTAAAAGGTTGTTTATTCTTAAAAGGATGTTAATTCTTAAGCATCGGTACTAGATATGATTATAACGATGACGATATTAAAGATGGATTGATAAACCTCTCATCTCAAGTAAATTGGTGCTCATTGGCACTACATCAGTATTCTTGCCCTGCTTATTGGACCATGAAAATGTGTATCAAGCATCCGTACCAAAAGCTGTGTTTGGAGGGAACAGTAGATCGTTTTTTGCAGAAATTCTCACGATCATACCAGTTTTAAAACCAGTCTTTGAGCATGATTTTCTAGATATTCTTTGTTCAGAAAAGATACAACAGTTTAAGTTTAAGTTTGACATGTTCTTGAATTCTTATCTGTTTAGAAGTCAGTTTGGGGGCTTGATCTTGTTAATGCTTCTTTTTTTTATTGAGCAGCTAATGAAAAGAGGCGCAAGGAAAGAATGAGAGCAGAAGCTGGTGAGTCCATTTTAATCATAAAATGACTATATAGAATTGTAGCAATACTCCTTTTTTTCACGATACTTTAATACATATCAAGATTTTGGGCCAAAATGTGATTTGTATCATGATACATGAAAATAGGTTATGTATGAAGCCGCAAGTGTTATTTAATAAATTTTCCACATTCACAACGCCGCGAAGGTTGGATTTGAGTTTTTTTTATGCTTGCAACTTCGATACTGCCTCTGCTGTGTATTTTGTTTTTACAACGGGTATCAAGTTCGAAGCAAAGGGTAAGAAATTTAAATTGTAAAATGCCAGATATTTATAACTTTTATATTAATCTCATAAGCCATTAATAAGATTTTGGGATCCTTTTTAGATATGAAGCAAGCGTCCCATTTGATTGACTACAATACTACATATACCATGCGCTAAGATAAAATTTCTCACAGAACCTTGCGGCCCACTCGTCATTACACTTTATCTTTTCTCTTTAGCGCATGCTACGTGAAAGATGACTGTTTATCCTGAACTCTCGAATTCGCTCACATTTTCTGACCAGTTTGACATCTTTCTCCAACCATTCCTTTGTCGAGTTCGTGGTTTAATTTCTACTTCTAACTCCTTGTGTGTGTTTTGTACAGTTTGATAAGCTGAGTACTTAATAGTGGGGCCGTTGAGTGATACGATTGTGCACTTTTTGACTTAAGCATGAAACTTCGCATGTTGGTTCTTCATGCCGTGAAGAAAATTTGCAGGTGTGGAGACGTTTCATATTCAACCTCTGGTGACCTTTGAGAGGTCAATGACATTTACATACACTATTTATAACAATTGTTCTTGCAAACACCATTTTCCTATGACCCAAGTCTATGTCATAGGTCTTCAGGGCATGAAAATAAAGATCAGATGTGAAAGCAATTTTTTTGTGACCTTTAGTGACCTTCCAGAGGTCAATGACCTTTGCATACATATTTTGTATTTCATGATTAACTCTTTAAACCTCAACTTGTTTAAAGATCAAGTCAAAATGTTAGGTGTTCATGCTATGATTTCCTGTTTCATATGTGGGGCAATTCATATCTGACCTCTGGTGACCTTCAAAAGGTCAATAAACTTTGTGTGCCCTATTTATAGATATTTATAACATTTATTATTCAAAACCCAACTATTTCAGGACCGAAGTTTAAAAGTTGTCTTTTTGTGGCATGAAAAGAATTTTCAGATATGGGGACATCGTAATCCCACCTTTGGTACCCTTTAATAGGTCGATGAACTTTATACCTTATTTTTTGCTGTTTGTTTTCGTGACCCAAGCCTCAATATTGCAAAAAGAAAGGTATTGCACCTATTATTAAACAGTCATGTAATGAATTCAAAGCCATTCTGACCTCCATTTCCCTTTTTCAATTGGCAGACGCAACATGTTGCGACTGGGTCAGAAGACTGTTGGACTTTCTTTACAATGTAATATGTACAAATGTCTAACAATAATCACTCTTGTGTACTTATTACACTCTGTGTTATCTAGATGGACTTGGGTCACCACATTTTAAACCTTTTTACCAAGCCCACTGGTCACTGTTAGAGTGTGATTATTGCCCAATGTACCTCTTGTATTCTGTTGCGCCCCTGTCTACCCTTCAAAAGGGAAATTAAGGTCACCAGGGGTCAAATATGAATGTTCACACATCTGAAAATAATGTTCATATCACGAAGAGCCAACTTTTAGACTTGAGTTATAAAAAATGTGGGGTTTTGAATAGTAAATCTTATTTTTTTTTAATAGGGCATACATAGTTCATTGACCTCTTGAAGGTCACCAGAGGTCAGATATGAAATGCCCTTCTTATGAAAATACTATTCATAGTATGAACAACTTACTTTTAGAGTTGGGTCTTGAAAAAGTTGGGGTTTAAAATGTTAATCTTATAAATAACTATAAATACTGTACATATAGGTCATTGACCTCTGGAAGGTCGCTGGAGGTCAAGTATGATGTTTTTTCGCATCTGATCATTTTTTCCATTGCCTGAAAACCTATGACATAGACTGGGGTCATAGGAAAGTGGTGTTTTCAAGAACAATTAATATAAATAGTGTATGTAAAGTTCATTGACCTCTCAAAGGTCATCAGAGGTCCAATATGAAATGTCTCCACATCTGAAAAAAGATTTCGTGCCATGAAGAACCAACATGCGAAGTTTCATGCTTTAGTCACAAAGTGCACAATTGTATCATATATTTGACCTTAACAGCCCCACTATAAGGCCCTAGCTGAGTGAGGTTTTGCGCAAGGTGCAAGTCACTCACTCCCTACGCTACTATTTACCTGGTCATTTGCGTGAGGCTTTGCATGGGCTGCAAGTCGCTCACTCCCAATGCTACTATTTATCCGGCCAACAGTGTGTGCCTTTGCTGGAGTAGCAAGTAACCCACGCTGTACCCAACAGCGCACTGAATGCAAGTTGTTCAGCCCCATGCTACAACAAACCAACGCTGACCAAATCCCTCATGCCGCACTGAGTAATGGGCAAGTTTGCTATAGAAACAAACTCTGCTATTTTACCTGCAGACTATATATTTTTACTGTCAGATGACGCTTCAGGCGAGTTTCTCCAATTTGCCAATTATCAGAGCATAAGAGCGATACCCCCTCCTAATAGAAAGACCTATCACTCTCCCCCTCTTCTTCTACTGGCCGTTCCACTATTGTACCGGCCACCCCACTGTCGTGCCGGCCGTCTCACTGTTGTACCAGCGGTCTCACTATTGTACCGGCTGCCCCTCTATTTTTCTTATTTTTATCTTATGGGGATTATCCATGTAGAACATAATCAGTTCTCGCCCATTCTTCAGTCATGTCATCCAGTGGCCCCCACCGTCCACTGGACAACCAAAGAAAAATCCTTGTTGACACCTAAGCCTAGGAGCACCTCGAAGGTTTACCCAGGGAACACCTCACCATGCCTACCACCACAGACGACGTGTGTGACAAACTTGCTGCTGACTCCAGTCATCGGTTCTCGACAGCATCCTTCTATCCGGGAGCTCCTCGCAACAGCAAGGAACAGGTGCTCGATCACATCAGCAGTGGCACTCGTTTGGGCATTACCCACAATGCGTTTTCCTTACTGCTGTCCGAATACTTGCTACAGGGGTATCAGACCGATTCCAACTTTCCAGCCTACATGCTAGGCTCTGCTTTTCGCTGTCTAGACAACTCACTTAGGGCAGTTTTCAGCGAACTTCCTCGAGTTTGCCACCACAGCATACAGCCACGATGGGCAGCAATTCTTGATGCCATTTTTGTGCACTCTAGCTGATGCAGCTCGCAAACACCTCAAGACCTTTCCTTTCCAAGGGCAGACAGAAGTGATTATGCTGGCAGGCACCGGGCCCCCACCAAAGGGCCCATTTTGCCGGACCCTGGGACCAAATTACATTTGACATATGGGCATTCACGGCATCTCACTCAGTTCTTCCATGTGTTCAGAAGTGCCTCCGCCCCTCCTCCCGATTCTCCTATGAAGGCACCACATACAAATTCCCGTCTATTTGGCTTGTGTACGGCCCCTCAGGTCTTGACCAGAATCGTAAAGACGGCAGGCAGTGCTCTCCATTGCAAAGGTCTGCAGGTGTTCATGTACCTTGACGACTGGCTCATTGTCGACAAATTGCGGGCATCAGCTGCTCACGCAGTCTATCAGACCATCTCTCTCGCAGAGGGCCTGGGTTTCCTCATTCCTTGCAGCCCGCCTTCCACTTCTCACGCTTTCATGTCGTACGCTCATCAAACCCACCTGTGACCTATAATGGTGATGATCTGTATGTAGTATCCGTACGGATGAGACAAGTGCAGTATAATCTCAACCCCTCACACACACAAACACCCACAGACGCATTCTCAAATTTGTATCCTTGTGGAGACATTTCTTTGTTCTCGTGTAGTAAAGTGTTCACACTCACCCACCCACACTGCGATGTGCACTGATTTTACTAGTGACTTACCCGAAGAGCGGCCACCCTCCTCCCCACTCTCGCGTGCACTTTCGCGCGTTTAAACTCAAGAAAAGAGGAAGTGTAATTGCAGGCAGGCTGCAAGGTACTGTTGGAAATAACTCATAGCAAATGACTAGCTCCCTCAGTGCATATGTAGTAATATGGGTAAGTACTCGCTACTTGAATCAGCCCACACTTCAGTGTTGGGGGATTTTTCAATATCCTGGTAGAATTTTTAAAGGAACTCCATGATTGGGATTAAAAATTGTATTGATTAATTTTCCAAGTGAATTTTTCCACAGCAAAAAAACGAGAGCAGGAAGTGTGGAATATAGTCGGGGACTATTGTTGTGGCAAGAGGCAGTGGGAAGAGGCTGCAAAGTGTTACAAACTAGCTGGGAATAGTAAGTGTTCAGTGACCCAAGCACATGGTAGTATTTTGTAAAAAAATAAACACTTGACAATATATTTTGTGCTTGTATCTGTGCTTTGTTTTGTCTAATTCCCTGTTATTGTCTGCAGGCGAGTGGGGGTGCAGTATGAGGGAAAGCATACTTTTAGTGGCATACTGAGATATAGCATTTTTTGCGAACGCATCCGTTGTAACCCTTGCATTCTTTTAACCCTTTTTATTTTTCAGCATCGGTATTAGGTATTATAATGATGATGATGATAAGATGGATTTAAAAACTGCTCATTTCAAGCAAATAGGTGCCCACAGCACTACATCAGTAATTCTTACCCCTGCTTATAAATTATTGGGCCATGAAAATGTGCATCAAGATCCTTTTTTCAGTGGCAAACGTGTGTGTGTTCTTTTTTTTTGCAGAAATTTGATTTACTTACACAATGGTCACACCAGTTTTAAGACCAGTTTTCGAGTATGATGATCTTGTATATGTTTTTTGCTCAGAAAAGAAGCATCAGGAAATGGAAAGTATCATGGCTGAGGGTAAGTTTAAATTTGACATGCCTTCTGTAGTTGGAGTATTAGTTGAACACAGACAGTTTTATCAATTTGTTTATTTTCATAGAGTTATTACCTGTTTTAACAAGTCTTTGGGGTTCATCATGTTTAGAAATGTTTTTTTGTGTGTTTGTCTTGAGCAGCTGAAAAGAAGCACAAGGAAAGAATGAGGGTAGCAGCTGGTGAGTCCCATTTTAATTTTAAAACAACTTTAATATAGAAGTGCAATGATACTCCTTTTTTTACAATACTATTTGTATCCAGAATACTGGGTTAGAATATGATATGAATCATGATGTGTGAACACAGGTTATAACTATTAATAAGCAGCGAATATTCATTTCATAAATTGTCCACATTTGCAACATCGTTAAGGTTTTGATTTTATTTTTATTTTGCTTGCAGCTTTGATACTGCCACAGCTATGTATTTGTTCTCTTCTCTTTTTTCTTTTAATTTTCTTTTCATACAGAGTTCAAGCTGGAGGCAAAGGGGTAGAAATTTAAATTGTAAAATGGCACACACACCATTTTTATATTCTCGTGATCCATCCACAAGATTTTGAGCTCCCTCTCAGATGAAAGGAGCATCCATTGTGATTGACTAGTGTAATAAATTGTCCAATATCCTGTTGGAAATGTTAAGTAACTTCATAAGTGAGATTAAAGATTGTATTCATTAATTTCCAAGTGAACTTTTCCCACAGCAAAACAAAAGCGGTTACAGCAGGTGTGGATTATAGTCGGGGACTATTGTCGGGAGAAGAGGCTGTGGGAGGAGGCTGTCACGTGTTACGAACTTGGTCAGGATGGTAGGTATTCAGAAAAAAAACTGGAAACATGTTTTGTGCTTCCTTTGTTTTGTCTCGTTGCATTAAATGGTGTATGTTAATACGGGAGGGGGATGTGTAAAGGTGCTCACATATCTTAATGGCATGACAGCTAAATGTTGCATTCGGTTGCTCGCATCTGTTATTGGCATAACAGATTAATGTTGCATTCGGTTTATCAAAAGCATATGTGTTATTTGGTTTATTTTATATTGGGAATACCCGAGTATTTTCATTTTTGTGTTGTTTTTTCTTGCAAGCCCTCGGACAAAACTGAGTAAACAGTGCTTATAGAAAACTATGTTGGCAAAGGGCAAAACCCAATATGGAAAAGTACATCTGTGTTAACCCTTGCGAATTTTAAATATTTTCCCTTGAGTAGGAGCTAAGAAGAGGTTGGCCAAGGACATGGACAAAATGAAAATAAAGATTCTTCGACAGCTTGAGGCAGTGAGGAAGAAGGTCCTGCAAGCAGCAAAACAGTTAGAACGACCCTGGTGCTGGATTACATGCTGCTGGTCAGTTCATCAGACAGTCCGGTGGCAGTATACTTGGGGAGGGTCGTAAATTATGGAGGGGGAGCATTACATGGGTTTGATCATGGTTTCAAATAAAATACAAAGGTGTTTTTCTTTTCCCAACTCTGAGCAGGGTCCTACATTTATGCATTTGGACTGGATTGTCCCTGCAAAGTCAATTTCGTGGTTTTCTATTCATTTGGTGATATAAAATGTAAAAAGCTCTATTTCAAACTGCGGTCATGATTCAAATGATATAAATACTTTCTGTAATAGATGTTTATTCTTAAACCCTGCCTAGTTGCAAAATAATGCCACCATTTCCACCATTAGCAAAAAAGAAACTAGAGCAGGATTTGAATCTTCGAACTAAAACTGAGCTACCCAGCCCTATAGTTGAACTTCCCCATATTGTCGATGACGTTTTTTAAGGGGCGCTAGTCATAAGCCACAAACTGGTATATACTACATAGCCAGCGATCAATCCAAGAGTCATGATGCTGACAAATTAAGCAGTGCAAGAGATGATGTAGCTTTGTGTTATTGATTTATTTTCCCCTTGCAGCTAACAAAAAGTTTGTTTTTTGACTATTCTTAGCAATTATTACCAGTCAGAAATTGAGGCCGAACTCAATCATCTAAAAAAATCGACATTAAGCGAAACCTCGGTGGAAACACTCAAATCTGGAGAGGCAAAAAGGATACTTGCAGATAAAGAGAAAGAACTACTGAGGAAAATTCAAGAAGATAGAGTTAAGGTAAGAAGTAAGGAGCAAGACCAGTGTTGAAAGATTTGATTGGAATAAAAATTTGGAAACAGTTATTCGATAATTTGAAGTTTGAATTCATTGTTCCTTTTGTTTTGTGACAGGGTTGGACATGGCACGTCATTCATCTTCTTGTCTACCTTGGAAGTACGCCAATCATTGCATTTTTTATTTCATAATCAAATTCCTAAAGAAACGCTTTTGGTTAAGTCCTACATGGAGATGGGATGCACGTCAGAAGCATGCATTTTTCTTGAGCTTTCTATTGGAATCTGCTTTCTAATCTTTTAATGTGCTTCATCATAATTCAGGGAACAGATTCATTTATTTTTTATAAATAAAATTGATGCACGACTGTCTATTTTAAATAATTTCTGTCCACAGTTTTGCATAAAGACTGGTTGAAGGGCGACAACAAAGATAGCCAGCAAGGGAATCAGCATACCAATGATGGTAATGACCGAATTCCATGAAAGCAGGGCTAAGTTTTTGGTTTTAATGTTGAGTGACCTGAAGTAAAATTTGGGAAAGGAGTTGATCACCGGCAATGAGAAAAGTCGAGTGACGACTACATGTATATGGTTCAATACAGTTAACTAACTTCACTTGAATGCAGGGTGGTCTGACTCCTTTAGTTGACTATTATATTTAGGACTGACTGGTGTATATGGTCTCCGTTATCCGGTCTCCGTTATCTGGTATCCTGATTTTTTTGAACAAATACAGTGCATAATCCAGCCTTATAATTATCACAGGCTCAATGAATTATCTGCCGGGTTTGATTTTTCAGTGAAGAGCCCCAATATGCATGGTCAGGCACGTTTCATAGCTGATGTGAAAGGGGGGGGTAAGAAATGCTGAGAGAAACCTCATTACAGAGTACAAAGAGTTTTTGAAAAGGGAGAAGGGTAAAACCCAAGGGGCCATGGATGCACTAGCATATGCAAATTCGGTACAGACAAAGCTGCGTACATGTACAATGGGTACAACCGTAGCATTCTTATGTACACAAAGCAGGATATGGTCACCAATGTTTACACAAGCCACAGCAGGTCCCACAGACTTTCTACTGGGCCAGGGAGCGCTATAATCATTGTTTTAGATCAGATTAAATTAGATTTCTTTTTTGTCATGCTCAAAACTACATGAAAATATGTTGACATACACTAATTTAAGATATACCAAAAATATGACAAAGCCAAAAATATAATAATACATCACACACAAAACACAGTTACTAAACAATCATAAAAGCTCTAGGAGCAGTAAAGTAGGATTTCGGGCTGTGGGTGATTAGGGAAGGAAATGAGGAAATAGGACGGGACAGGATGGAAAAAGCTGGGTCGGGCAATGTACAGGGTAGGGTAGGGTATAGGATTGAGGGTAGGGGGTTGGTGAGAAGGGAAAGAGGGGGGATAGCATGGAAAGAGAGGTTAGGATAAAGGGAAACATTGGAACAGGGTAGGGTAGTGTAAGGAGGGCCAGGGCTGAGTAGAGTTGGGTATGACTGAGTTATTAAAACAATTAGCTAAAAGCAACTTATCAAGGGCATTTGAATGAAATAAAAACAAGCGTAGGGATCAAACTATCTGGTGAATGTTGAGTTAAAATCTGAATGGCCCATGGTAAAAATGAAGATTTGAACCTGTTTGTTTTGAGACTAATTTGCTAGATCGATTACAAATAACAAGAGGGTTGAGGGGGTGACTTGTTTGCGAGAGAATGCTGTTAAATTTGGTGATAAGATAATTATTTGCTACATGTTGTATATCTTATACGTTAGCCCCAATTACCTTCATAGCTTGCTTGTCAATCGGTTCATTTTTTTTCCTGATTGCACAAAGTAAGTGAGTTGAACCAAGATATGCAACAAAAGAAAACAGTCGACTGAATGGTGCTCTGATAAAACAATTTTAAAATCCGACAGTTTACATTAAAAGATTTCAGTTTGCTTAAAAAAATACAGCCTTTCATTGGCTTTTTTTAAATCCCAGTTGTGTTTGCATTCCAATTTAACTGATCATCAAAAACAGTTCCCAAGTGTTTTAAACTCATGAACAATTTCAACATCTGTGTAGTCAATTCCAATCGATTCCTTCATATTTTTCGTTTTCCAGAAATCAAACATCATCTCTTTGGTTTTCTGTACATTTAAAATTAGATGATTTCTGTCGCACCACTCCACAAATGTATTATTTTATTTAATGGATTGTTGAAGAGGATTATATGGCAATGTAATAAATTTTCCAATATCCTGTTGGAAATGTAAGTAACTTCATTGGTGAGATTAAAAATTGTATTCATTAATTTCCAAGCCAACTTTTCCCACAGCAAAACAAAAGCGGTTACAGCAGGTGTGGATTATAGTCGGGGACTATTGTCGGGAGAAGAGGCTGTGGGAGGAGGCTGTCAAGTGTTACGAACTTGGTCAGGATGGTGGGTATTCAGAAAAAAATGGACACATATTTTGTGCTTCCTTTATTTTGTCTCGTTGCCTTAAATGGTGTATGTTAATCCGGGAGGGGGATGTGTAAAGATGCTCACATATCTTAATGGCATTACAGCTAACTGTTGCATTCGGTTGCTCGCATCTCTTATTGGCATAACAGCTAAATGTTGCATTCGGTTTATCAAAAGCATCTGTGTTATTTTTTTTTTATAAGATGGAATTAGCATCTGTGTGATGTAATTTTATTGTATATTGGGAATACCCGAGTATTTTTATTTTTATAATGTTTTTTCTTGCAAGCCCTTGGACAATACTGAGTATACAGTGCTTATAAAAAAACTATGTTTGCAAAGGGCAAAACCTAATATGGAAAAGTACATCTGTGTTAACCCTTGCAAATTTTAATTATTTTCCCCTTGAGTAGGAGCTAAGAAAAGGTTGGCCAAGAAAATGGACAAAACGAAAACAAAGATTCTTCGACAGCTTGAGGCAGTGAGGAAGGAGGTCCTGCAAGCAGCAAAACAGTTAAAACGACCCTGGTGCTGGATATCATACTGCTGGTCAGTTCATCAGACAGTCCGGTGGCAGTATTCTTGGGGAGGGTCGTAAATTATGGAGGGGGAACATTACATGGGTTTGATCATGGTTTCAATACAAAGGTGTTTTTCTTTTCCCAATTCTGAGCAGGGTCCTACATTTATACATTTGGACTGGATTGTCCCTGCAAAGTCAATTTTGTGGTTTTCTATTCATTTGGTGATATAAAATGTAAAAAGCTCTATTTCAAACTGCGGTCATGATTCAATTGATACAAGTACTTTCTTCCAAATTGATGTTTATTCTTAAACCCTGCCTTGTTGCAAAGTAATGCCACCACTTGCACCTTTAGCAAAGAAAGAAACTAGAGCAGGATTCGAATCTTCGAATTACAACTGAGCTATCCAGCACTGTATTGGAACTTCCCCATATTGTCGATGAGGTTTGTTAAAGGGAAAATACAACATTTGCAAACATCAAAAAATAAAACTACCAAATCATTTTGAAATACCTTGCTGGACTGTTAGTGAATGACAGTTTACTGTAAAGCATCCTGTAAAATCATGGCACCTGGTATACTGTCATTTTCAAGAAAAGTGGTATTTTTGTATCAAAAAAAACCTGGCTTTTTTCCAAATACTGGCCCCAATTGACCATCGCACTTGTTTGCAATCGATTACACACCTATGAACGGGTACAAGCCAGCTAGACTGGTTCCCTGACTTTACAATTCCGCAATGTATGTAAACTGCTCTGTTTCTTCTTAAATGGAGTCAGGGAACCAGACTACAGGAAAATGATTGTTTTTCTTGGTTTTTATAGCATTTTTTAACCCAAAACCTCAAAAAAGTCAGTGTAACTATATTTGCTATATATTTCCAACCCCCCAATTCCATCCATTTCTGAAAATTACAGCAAAAGCAAATGATGTATATTCCCTTTAAGGGGCGCTAGTCATAAGCCACAAACTGGTATATGCCACATGGCCAGGGATCAATCCAAGAGTCGTGATGCTGACAAATTAAGCAGTGCAAGAGATGATGTAGCTTTGTGTCATTGATATATTTTCCCCTTGCAACTAACAAAAGTTCGTATTTTCACTATTCTTAGCAAATATTACCAGTCAGAATTTGAGGCCGAACTCAATGATCTAAAAAAGGTGATCGACACCTCGGTGGAAACACTCAAATTTAGAGAGGCAAAATGGATACTTGCAGATAAAGAGAAAGAACTACTGAGGAAAATTCAAGAAGATAGAGTTAAGGTAAGAAGTAAGGAGCAAGACCAGTGTTGAAAGATTTGATTTGAATATAAATTTGAATACAATTATGACTTATTCGATATTTGTAGTTTTAATTTATATTTCCTTTTGTTTTTGTGACAAGGTTGGAAATGGCACGTCTTTCATCTTCTTGTCTACCTTGGAAGTATGCCAATCATTGCATTTTTATTTCATAATCAAATTCCATAAGAAACGCTTTTGGTTAAGTCCTACATGGGATGCACGTCAGTAGAATGCATTTTTCTTGAGCTTTTTTTTTATTGCTATCTGCTTTTTAATCTTTTAATGTGCCTCATCATAATTCAGGGAACAGATTCATTTATTTTTTATAAATAACATTGATGCACTAGTGTCTATTTTAAATAATTTCTTTCCACAGTTTTACATAAAGACTGGTTGAAGAGTGACAACAAAAATAGCCAGCAGGGGAATCAGCTCAACAAGTATGGTAATGACAGACTTCCAGTGACAGGGCTGAGTTTTTGGTTTTAATGTCGAATGACCTGAAATACAATTTGGGAAAGGAGTTGATCA